GCCGCGCCATGTGTCAGCGCGGAGCACTGAGGTGTGTGGCTGCTGCGGCCCGTGGGGGTGCTGCTGCTGCACTTCCTGCTCCTTCTGCTGCTGCTTATGTACTGTTTGTTGCTGCCTAAGCAACAACAACAAATGTGTTTGTGCATCTACCTCTTGTGGTGCTGCTTGCTGCTGCAGGGTGTCCTTGAGCTGTCGGCTGCTGCCGTGTCAGGCTCCGGATTTGCTGCTGCTTCTGCAAATTGCGGAGCCTCCCGTGGGTTGAGTTCCTTTGCCGGCAACCCACTGCTTCAAGGCCACATGAAGAGGAATAGGAACGTGTGCGTTGGCAGCAGCAGAAGCAGCAGCAGCACCAGGGAGAGCCGGTCTGGGCTGTGGACTCCGTTGCGTGCGGCGGAACCCTCAACTGGAGTTGCGGATGACTTGGACTGCGGCGCCGTGGATTTGAACTCGTTGTGCAGTTCTGTGGTGAAGGTCTACAGCGACTTCACAGACCCAAATTATGCGCTGCCGTGGCAGATGCAGCGACAAGGCAGCAGCACTGGTAGCGGCTTCATTGTCCACCCTTCAGCGGGAGGGGGCGAGCGTATCATCCTTACCAATGCGCACTGTGTGGCCTGGAACAACAGACTCCACCTTAGAAAACACGGGTTAGGCTGATCCTATATCTGTGCCTGCTCTTGCTGGCCTTTTGCCTGTTGTTGCTTCGACTCGCGGCGTTGTTGCTGCAACTACATGAGCTGCTGCTGTTGCAGCTCTCCCACATGNCGCTCTTGCCCTTTTTTTGACTCTACCAGAGAGACATAACCGTTGTATGTGAGCGTCTACGGAGTCGCCATTGTGTGTGCCTGGTTGGCACTCACTTTGCATTTTGTCTGTACATACTTTTTCTGGTCCTATGCTGCAAAGTTCTTCTTTCTCCACCTCCGTGCGCCCTCTGCAGCAGCACTATAACCCGCGGCAACTGAGACCAGCAGCAGCAGAGCAGGAGCACCAGCAGCTGCTGCTGCTGCACTGTGGAAAGGGGTTTGTGTCTTTGTTCGCCTCAGCTCGCCGATTAAGTTTCCCGCAAGAGTTTTGGCTGTAGCGCACGAATGCGACCTGGCAGTCCTTACTGTAGACAACGATGATTTCTGGGCAGACACACAAGGCCTTCTCTTTGGAGAGGTCGGCTGCTGCTGCTGTTGCTGCTGGCCTGGTTGATATGTTACTGCTGTTGCTGATGCCCTTTATGGGGAAGCTGCCACCTGTCTTGGCGCAACTGCTGGAGATGCTGGTGCTTACCTTTGCTGCTGGCACTGCTCATATCTCGTCCCTCTATGCTTGTCGAGACTGCTGCGAAAGATGATGGTGGTGACGTGGCATCTGCTGTTGNATATCTCGTCCCTCTATGCTTGTCGAGACTGCTGCGAAAGATGATGGTGGTGACGTGGCATCTGCTGTTGCGTCTGTTGCTGTGCTGCTTCTCCGGGCTTTCGGCCGAATAAGTAGTCCTACTTCTCATTTGTTGCAGCTCCGTGCGCCGCTTCTGCTGCAGATACCTGCCTTGCAGGACGGGGTGATCGTCTTGGGCTATCCGCGCGGAGGAGACAATCTCTGCATCACTTCAGGGGTTGTCAGCAGAGTGGACGTCAATACTTATGCCCACTCCAATACGGCGTAATTCTCTGATTCCATAAACACGAAACATTAAACCCTGAACCCGCATTATTCTGTCTCCGACTCTTGGTGCCGACGGTCAAAATGAGAGTGTGCTGTGCAGTGTCGTTGTTTAAGGGTCCTGGCCGGCATTGCTACTGCAGCTGACGATTCTCGTTCTCCTGAGATTGCCTGAGACTTCCTGAGATTGCCTTTGTTGTTGGGGGTGCGCTGAGGTGTCGAAGCCTCGGTTGTTCCTGCACTGGGGGAACTAGCATAAGCAGCAGCAGCTGCTTGCTTCAACTGTGTGTTTGTCTCCAGGCTGCTATGCGTGCAAATCGACGCTGCGATTAACCCCGGAAACAG